TTTTTTTTTTTTTTTTTTTGGTTTTTCGAGACAGGGTTTCTCCGTAGCTTTTGGTTCCTGTCCTGGAACTAGCTCTTGTAGACCAGGCTGGCCTCGAACTCACAGAGATCCGTCTGGCTCTGCCTTCCGAGTGCTGGAGAAAGTCTGTCTTAAAAACTAGAGAAAAGAGAAAAAAAAAAAGGACATTTGGGTTGGAGAGATGGCTCAATGGCTAAGAGCACTGGCTGTTATTCCAGAGATTCAGGTTCAATTCCCAGCACCCACATGGTAGCTCATAGCTGTCTGTAACTCCTGTTCTAGGACATGATGCCCTCATACAGACATATCTGCAGGCAAAACACAATGTACTTAAAAAAAAAAAAAAAGTACATTCAAAGTTAAAAGGACAATAAAAAGAACCACAATTTTCATAGGTGAAAACAGCAGCTATTTTTGGAAGGAATTGATTTCTCTTAAATTATGTGAGTGTTATACTGTGCACTTCAGAAATTTTTAAATTATCTCTTAAAGTTCATTAAAGAAAAGCTTTTCACGTACAAATGAAGTTGATGATTATCAACTTGCTAAAATTCCTTTATTTTTTCACCAATCAATGTTTATAAATCACTTCAAATAAAACTGATGGAGTCAAAAGTTGGAGATTTGCTTTTGCCAAACTGCTTCTTAGAAATCTTAAGTATGCTCCAAGCTACAGACAAACCCTGTCTCGAAAAAAGAAAAAAAGAAATCCCAAGTATGCAAGAGTGTCCATTTCCCATGTATTCTTGCCAAAATCAAATGTGTTCAGATTTGTTTGGTTTATTTTTGCTAATGTGAAGAGAAAGGAGGAAGCCCACTGTTACTGTTCTTACAGCTAAGCTTTAAATTACACAAGCACGCCATGTCCCCTTCACTGTTGCTGGACCTTAAAGGGAACTCACTGAACCAGAAAAGAATTGAGATGCACAATAAGGGATGAATATGGCTACTTTAATTTGTCTAAAATATTTGCAACTGTGTAATCTTTTGGAGTATTCCCATGTATACAATGTATGTGTGCAAGGTCCCCTGTCCCCCTTTAAAAAAAGAACGGTTAAAGGAAGCACACTGAGTACCAACCTGCTTCAGTCTGTCATAGTCGAGTCCTTCTGTCTGGACTCCATTGGCACTGGGCTGTGACGAAGGTGTAGATTTGGGTCTGTACAAAAGAAATTTCCAGTACAGATAAATTATATTTATAACATTTAATGAGTTTGCAAGTAACTAACTGTAAAATTGCCACCTCAGTGGCAGATTTAATTTCATAAACACATTTTACTAAAAAGTCAACTGTGAAAATTGTAGGACTGATTAGAACAGGATGCAGAAAATCTTTTACTTTTCTCAATTTAATCTACTGAAAACAGTTGAAAAGCCTGAAAATATAGTGATGCTCCTTTAAGAGAATAGAAGATAGTACTCCCTTGGACCAGGTGACACTTGGCATGTTGACCATGGACATGACAAAGTGGCCAGTTGAAACTCCCAAGGCTTATATATAACGCAGTCATTTTTGGTACTTTTGAAACTTTATATTATGTATTAAATATCAAGCAAATCAATAAAGGGAAAGCTTTAATATCTTAAATATTTTATCATAGATCAGTTTATAAGTTCTGAGCCTCAGTTTATAGGAAAAAATAGTTTAGTAAGCCTAATTTCTTTATTTGCTTCCTTTTTAAGCACTGAAATAAAAATGTTGAAAAATGACTGTTAGAAGCATACTCTCATATTCAATTGGATCTATGTTGCCATAAAGTCCATAAATTTACTTTGTTTTAAAAAGAAAACAGAAAAATAAAAACTGGGAAATTCTAAGATAGAACCTCTCAATTACAACTGCACTTTCAAAAGTTTAGCTTTTATTTGATTTTTCCATAGGACATTTTAAAATGTCCTACGGAATAGGCATATTTCAAACATAAGTTTCGACATAAAATAAATCAGTCATGGCTCCCTCTCCAATCCTAGAAACAAAGAGAAATTCCTCAGAGGGAATCTGGAGTTTCAGTCGCCCACGTCTTCATTTTCTGGTTTAGAACAGTAATCATTCTACAGACCATTAGTCAATCTCATTATTTCAATTTTGCAGAGTACCAGGATTAGCAAATTATCTGAATAAAAATCCAACACACATAACTTACTATAAAGTTATATTTCATAATTCTTAAGATATAACACTTTAAATCCAAAGGCATTGTTTATGGAGATGAAATACTTAATTTGCTTTAATATCAAAACATATTATTGCTTAAAAAGTTTTATGAAACAAAACCAAGACATCCAACTTTAGCTTATAGGGCATCTGCTTAAACAGTAACTTGCAGAAACTTTGTTTACTAAGTACTGCAGATTTATATAAAGAACTGCTTCTCCTCTCATAAAGACACATCGTTTTTTGCTGAAGACCCTACTTAATTCTAAAGTTTTAAGATCTAAGACCCATAGCAAAATATCCAGTGTTCTGTGTACAGTCAAGTACAGTATATATTCTTAAGGGTTGGTACACTGCATTTTATACACCCAGGTTATTTATCACTGCCTTCCAGAATTAAATTATTAATTAATCTGCTTTCTATCTTTCTCATTTAAGAAGGTCAATTAGTAAATTTCTCCTAAGATAGATAATGACTATTTCTGAAATTCCAACAGGTACAATATCTACATAATTGAGAAATATGCTATAGTATACAAACACATCTGCATTTGTTAAACAGTTTAAAATGTTAATTAATAAACAACTGTGCAAACATGCAACTTTAAAAAAATTTAATTCATGCTAACATGCAATCCACCACCACCACCACTACCACCACCACCACCGCTGCCACCACCACGAGAATTAACTCAAGGGGGGAACTTTTCATACTGAAGGAAAGGAGTAATCACCACTTCTTTTGTTTTGAAGGAACATTACCCTGGCCTGGTATGGGAGCAGGAAGGTGACTTAGAGGACTTTGTTATACGCACTGTTTTCCTCTGTTCTAGCAGATTTTCCTAATAAACCTTTTGTTGAAAACAGCCTCCCTCAAAGAAAGAAATAAAAAGGCTGGACTGTAATATGAATACTTATGGAAAAATAAAGTTGACAAAATAAATATGCCAAATATTTTGCTTTCCAGTGGCATAAAAGCAATTTTAGCAAATAAGAATTTGACCAGAGTCAAATCACAGAACTACTAATGGACAGATATCCTCTTTATGCATTATTTAACCCATGTGTTCAGTAGACCTGATGCACATTTTAAAAAATGGCTGTATGTAATATTAATGTATTTCTTTTCTTTTGAGACAGGCTCTGTGTAGTCCTGCAAGTCCAGTAATTCTCAATCTTCCTAACGCTGCGATCCTTTAACACAGTTCCTCATGTTGTGGTAACCTCCAACCATAAAATTATTTTTTTAAATATATATTTATTTATTATGTATACAATACTCTGTGTGTATGCCTGCAGGCCAGAAGAGGGCACCAGATCTCATTACAGATGGTTGTGAGCCACCACGTGGTTGCTGGGAATTGAACTCAGGACCTTTGGCTAAGAGCAGGCCGTGCTCTTAACCACTGAGCCATCTCTCCAGCTCCCATAAAATTATTTTTATTGCTTCTTCATAACTGTAACTTTGCTACTGTTATGAATTATACTGCAAATATATGATATGCAGGATATCTGATCTATGACTCCTGTGAAAGGGCTGTTTGACCCCCAGAGGGGTGGTGAACCACAGGTTGAGAAACACTGATCTATGTAGATGAGGATGGGTTCAAACAAAGACCTTCCTGTCTCTGTCTCCAGAGTTCTGGGATTAAAGGTATATAGGCCACTGTACCTGGCTGGCATATATTAACATTTATGGAAAGTATTTTTTTCCCCTCTTCTTTCTTTCTTTTCTTTCTTTCTTTCTTTCTTTCTTTCTTTCTTTCTTTCTTTCTTTCTTTCTTTGTTTTGTTTTCAAGACAGCGTTTTTCTGTGTAACAGTCCTAACTGTCTTGGAGGTCGCTTTGTAGACCAGGCTGGCCTTGAACTTAACTGATCCACCTGCCTCTGCCTCCCAAGTGTTGGGATTAAAGGCATGCACTATCACGCCCAGCTATTACTGTACTTCTGATAAAATGCATATATTTCAGTTGTTTATGTATTCATCCATTTATCTGAGACAAGGTCTCACTATATAGTCCAGGATACCCTTAATTCATAGCTCTACCTCAGTATCGGAAATGCCAAGATTACAGGCATATTAATACCATGTCCCTCTTTATATCTGTTGCTTTTAAATTATGGGTTTTTATTATAACTTATAATAAAACATGAGGGTTTATGAGATGTTTAAATATGTATTTTTCCTTAACTATAGGAGAATGTTCCTAGATGCCTATATAGCAACTATACGGCAATATTTAACTTTCTTTTCTATCATATTCTACAAATTGCTAAAAAAAAAAGCATCTACAGACTTTTAAAAATTGTTGCATGTTTTCAATTAAGAAAAATAGATTGATACTGCCCTATACTGCCCTTCCCTTTAGGAGGTGGTGAATAGTGCTGAAGACCAAACTTCAAGACCGAAGCATTTCATGTGCTAAGGACATGATCACTGAGCCCAGCTCCCAGATTTGTATGTTTAATATTATAAGGATTGGGTTTTTGTTTGTTTGTTTGTTTGCAATCCAAAAACAATGTGCTCAGGAAGCTGGGTGCCGACTGTTAAAGGTGCTTGCTTCACTACACTGACAAGCAACTTCATCTGTGGCTACAATACTATCCTGCGTTCTAGCCAAACCAGCACAGGCCCTTCAATTCCATTCTCTAAAGACTTGTCATAAAATCATGAAGAAAACGGTCTTTAAAGGAAAACACCGTAAGATGATCTGACTTTTCATTTTATCATTTATAAATGTCTAAATCCAACCACTGAGTGGTAGCAGGGTTCTACTTTAATGTTCAAACTATAGTAAAGTCTCCCTTGTGGTGATTACCAATCCAGGTAGAAAAAGCTCAGCCCTACCCTGGACGTGTTATTGAAAAGTCTGAAATCACAAAGTCACAGCAGGATGATACCTGTGTAATGAATCATAGGACCTGTTGTCAAAAACAATCTGATTTTTCCTTGGAGAATCCCGTCTATGAAGGGGAAAAACCATTTAAAGGTATATAGTAGAACTTCAGAAGATAACTCCCACGATACTACTGATTTATATAGGCTTTTAGTTATAGCAAGCAAAACAAAAATAAATTATCCCTAAAGGTGTTAATTATCCTTAAAATACCTATTTTGCCAAATTTAAAAGGGTACTTTGATACTAATTTATATGACACAAAGGCTACTTTTGTAGGCTGCAGCCATCTACTTCCCAAGGATCAAAACGTAAGCAAAGACAGCTCTATTCTGTGAGTATCAAAGCAATAGACTAATAAATATCTGTAGCTTAATGTATGCAAAACTAACTGTTCCTGGGCATGTACAGAACATTTTCTCCCATCAAATGCCAACCCAGTAGATTTTCAATGAAAACCATGACATTTCAATATTAGCGATCATTCATCTCAGTGTATTCTTACCGCCACACTCTTGCCTACAGTTAACGCACAGCAATAAGTAAGTACTGCTTATGGAGTCTATCTTTCCTTTCTTTGTCTTTAGAGAAAAGGATTTCATGTAGGCCCAGCTGGCCTCAAATTTAAGTAGATGAGGATGACCTTGACCTTTCTTCTGTCTCATCCCCAACCCCTGTACCTCAGTACTGGGATTATAGGCATATGCTACGATGTCCAGTTCATGCAGTGTTGGACACTGAACTCAGGCCTTTGTGCGCATTAGGTAAGCATTCTGACAACTGAGCTATATTCCCAGTCTGAGTATTATCTTTGTGTGTGTGTGTGTGTGTGTGTGTGTGTGTGTGTGTGTGTGTGAGAGAGAGAGAGAGAGAGAGAGAGAGAGAGAGAGAGAGAGAGAGAGAGAGAGAAAGCAAGCCTATCTGCTCTAACTTTTTTTAAAAATATTTATTTATTATGTATACAATATTCTGTCTGTATGTATGTCTGCAGGCCAGAAGGGGGCACCAGACCTCATTCCAGATGGTTGTGAGCCACCACGCAGTTGCTGGGAATTGAACTCAGGACCTTTGGAAGAGCAGGCAATGCTCTTAACCACTGAGCCATCTCTCCAGCCCATCTTCTCTAACTTGACTATAATTAAAAATGTTGGGTTTTAATATTTTTGAAAAATTTATTATTTATTGATTGATTTGGTTTTTTGAAACAGGATCTTACTATGTAACTATGTAGTTTTGCCTGGCCCAGAACTTACTATTTAGTCCAGATTGGCCTTAAACTCAGAGATCTACTTGTCTCTGCATCATGAATGTTGAGATTAAAAAGTTTGTACCACCACACCTAAATTATATAATTTTAAATTATATGCAAATGGGTATTTTGCCTATACATATGTCTACACGTGACTACAGTGCCTTCACAAGCCAGAAAACAACATTGGATCCCCAGGAAGCTACCATGTGAGTGCTAGGACTTGAACCTGGGTTCAGTAGAGCAACCACTGAGCCACTTCTCCAGGCCACAGTTAGAAGTTCTGAAGAGATACAGCAAATTGGTATTGTATTTTAAAAATTATATAGAGACTGATGGGGCATTATTGGTCAATGCTATATCAGATTTCCATTACCGTTCAACATTTAATTGCTGTGGGGGCAGTAATTCTATTTTGGTTATGTGGAGATGTCCTGGGTTCTTTGAGAGACTGTCAAAGTATTTAGGTTAAAACATCACTTACTTGCAAGTTTCTTTCAAACTATTAATAGGCAAAAATATGGATGCAAAGACATAAGACATGTAACTGTTAAGTTTGGGTGGTAGTTGCATTTTAATATTTGCTACACTGTTTTTTTCTTTTAATTTGAATTAAAAAAACAAGTTAGAAGGGATAAACTATCATAAAATATCAATAAATCTGATTAACAAACATGTCAGCAGAATTTATCAGATAATCAGGAGTAGCAAAAATATAAATTTAGTGGTTGTTCATAGGTGTCTTTATGTTTTCCTTTGTACAACCAAAAGTTTTCTATGATAAAAATGTATTAACTTCTTTTTAGACAAGCATGTAATATAAATCTTAGAAAAAGATCAATACCTGGAGATGACAGGTGACTTACTGCCATTCATTGTGTTTGTTCTCTCCCAAGGTTTTCTAGCTGGTTCTTCAAAAATAAGAAACAAGTGTTATTAAACGAATACACCTCAGATCCTTCTAGAATCATTGCAAAACAAGACACAAAAGAACTATCATTCTATGGACACAGTAATAATACATATACCAAATATAAATTCTGAACACAAAGGACTCTAAATTTTATGGTTTTTAGAACTTAAAATGGAAATTCAGGAGGTACCAGAAAGAGCTCTGAGTTTGAGGCTAGCCTGGTCTTCACAATGAGTTCCAAGGAGCCAAGACTACATAGTAAGACTTTGTCCAAAAAACTAAAATCAAATCAAAAAAACGAGAAGAAATTAAAAGTTTCCTTGAAACCCCTTCTATTATAAAATCTAAATAATCCAAATGATAGCAGCAATAACATAAGTAATCCAAATGATAGTGGCAATAACATGATAGTGGCCTCTTACTAATCAACACAATTTACACTAGAATCCAATTAATTCAAATGTACTAAACTTTTTGTCCAATAGTAAATAAAATGTTCAATCTATGATATGTTTTCTAATGTTTCCCCTCAGTGGCTTCTGTACATCTTCACTCAGGAGAAAGCTTTAAAGTCTCTTTGAACTGTATGCAAAACTAAATTAAAACTCCCTTGCCGCCTGCTTTGGGCTCTGAACTGTTAAAGGCACCTAGGGAAGAACCTAAAAGTTGCCATTGATTTTCCTTTACTTGGTCAATATTTAATTCTTCCTTTATAAGGGAATAGCTAAGGCACTCTGTCAGTCGGCAGTTAGTAAGGGAACATCAACAAACCAGGAAGCCAAGATGATGGAATAAGAACTACATCCAACACACTAACCCAAGTAATAGAGGATGGAAGACAGAGCAGGAAGGGAGAAGAAGAGCCACTGAGACACTTATCAAAGACGACGCAGGTGGAAGGATGAAAGTAACTGCTGGTAGATGGAGTGCAAACACTACCTCAACAGAAGAGGAGGGAGAATCTATTAATCTCTTTTTTGTTTGTCTGTTTTTTTTTTTTAGACAGTCTCACACTGTAATTCAAGGTAATCTAGAATTGTATATATAATCCAGGCTGGACTCAAATTTGTGGCAATCCTGTTGTCTCAAGTCTGCTAAATGCTGATATTACAGGTAAGAGTTTACCCAGTCAAACTTTTTTATTTTTTAAAGGGGTTTCTCTGTGTAACAATCCTGGCTGTCCTGGAACTTGCTCTGCAGACCAAACTGGCCTTGAATTCAGAGATCTGCCTGCCTCTGCTCCCAGAGTGTTGGAATTAAAAGTGTGTCACCTCCACCAGCTACTCCACTGGCTCCAGCAGATTTCCCAACTGGTTTTCTTTTTTAAAAAAATATTTATTTATTTACAATGTATACAACATTCTGTCTGCGTGTATGCCTGAAGGCCAGAAGAGGGCAGCAGACCTCATTACAGATGGTTGTGAGCCACCATGTGGTTGCTGGGAATTGAACTCAGGACCCTTGGAAGAGCAGTCAATGCTCTTAACCACTGAGCCATCTCTATATAGCCCCCAACTAGTTTTCTTAACTCAGTCTTCCCCAGCTCCACAATAACAAGGCGGACAAAAGCCAACTTAAAGGGCTCCTAAAAAGTTTTACTGACTTACACATCAACACAAATACTTGCAAGACAAAATCCAAATCTATTACTTATCTTTCCTAACAGTCTTTTCAATTTTATCTTATGTGCATTGGTGTAAAGGTGTCAGATCCCCTGGAACTAGAGTTGCAGACAGTTATGAGCTGCCATGTGGGTGCTGGAAACTGAACCAGGTCTTTTAACATTTGCTTTTCCCCAAGAATCTCTGGTAAGTCAACTTGTCATTTCCTAGTTTTCTCGTACTCAACTTTAACACCACACCTCTGTTCATAATATGTTAATGTGCTAGTTTCCGCTAGCTAAACACTCTACATACAGAAGGAAACATCATTCTTGCCAAAAATAGCCCAGGTGACTTGATATGTCATTCCCTCTGACACAGCTGACACAGTTGCATTTAACATTTCATGAGATTCTGTGCTTAAGAGGCTTTAAATATTGCCAGGCAGTGGTGGTACAGACCACCTCTGAGAACTCAGGGGGCAGGTGGATCTCTGTGAATTTGAGGCCAGTCTGGTCTACAGAGCGAGTTCCAGAACAAGCTAGCTCCAAAGCTACAGAGAAACCTGATGTTGGAAAGCCAAGAGAGTTTTTAAATCTCTCACCCATTTTGGCTCATTAAATGTTTTAATGCGATGTCTTTTTGTTGTTGTTGTTTGAGAAAGGGTTTCTCTGTGTAGCTCTGGCTGTCCTGGAACTTGATTTGTAGACCAAGTTGACCTCGAACTCACAGAAATCCACTTGCCTCTGCTTTCCAAGTGCTGTGATTAAAGGTGTGTGCCACCACCGCCTGGCTACAATGCCAATTTTAAGAATTGAATGAAACAAATGAAAAAGAAGCTCTAAACCTTTCTAAATGAATTCCTGATTTCATATGTGTGGGTTAAAATCAGTTGGATTTTTTTATAAAGATAATGTACCAAGTTCATTTAGAGAAAAACCAAGATGCATTGTGGAAAATTAGTTCATGGGGTCACAATGTTAATGATAGAAATAGCCAACTTCAAAAAGATTTTTTTTTAGAGTGGGAAAATGTCCTGAGAGGAAAACCAGCACTACTGTCATTTTCCTACACCAATATCATTTCTAACTATACACTATTATTCTTTATAGCTACAGATAATACAGCTGTCACCTTCCTTCCCCCCAAAAGATGGAGACTGTAACAAGGATCCACAACTATGCACAGAGTGACTGGCTTGTTTGGTGCCAAACCCAGCTAATAATCTGCTATATAACTCCTATACCTAAAGTTCAGGAAAATCACAGATGAGAAGATGAGAAGCTTCTAAGAAGAGTCAGAGGACCAGGCCGAATGCATGTGTAGACATGACAGGGAAGCTCTAGCCAGGACCTCTCAACAACATGGTTTCTCGAACAAGACTAGCACAGCAACACCATCAGTTGACACGCCAAAACAGACATGGGATATTCCATGTGGCACAACCCCTAGACAAAGAGCTACTAGCAGTCAATGGCTGCATAGAAACGGAGAGTTTGAGCCTGGCAGTGGTGGCGCTTGTCTTTAATCCCAGCACTTGGGAGGCTCTATGAGGTCAAGGCTAGTCTGGTCTCCATAGCTACAGAGAAACCCTTTGTGGAGGGGGAAAAAGAAAAGGGAAGAGTTTGTTTCCTCAACTGAGAATGTTCTGAAATATGCTACCTAACATGTGCATTTCATTTCCTCTTTTAAAACTGTAATGAATAATCTCAATCTATAAACACACACATGAACATGTATATTAAGGTATTTGCCAATATAGCATTAGCAAAATGTTGAATTTAACAGATTTCAGTTTCGGGAAGAAATCACAAAAGGCAGAAAAAAAGATCAAAGCCTTCAAATGTACAGAAGGCACTTTAACATTTTTGATGAGCAAGTAGTCAACTGGTCAGTCCAAACATGGGGAAAGAGACTTTTTACTTGGACAGTACTAGTGTTTAGGGAGTTTTCTGCTGAACTTACCAGGTGTACTTGTTGTAGAGGCCTTGGAAGTTATAGGTTCTGAATCTTCCTAAATATACAGAAACAGTCACATGAAGATCACATCACCAGAAACAGTAGTCTCTGCAGCTAGGTTTCCAAGCTCTCCCCCCATGTCCTCTCTGCCATCTACCTCATTTTCCTTCCATTCTGGCTTACGCTGCTTCCCTTTCTTCCTTTCAGTCTTTCCTCTACTGTCTTCACAAAGCTCCTTTTTTGCTAAGCTCTGAGAGCCTGCTCTAGCCAACGCTAGGAACCGGACACGAGGTGGATTTGAGAAGTGTTATGAAAGGAGGCCAGACGGCACAGAGAAAACAATCATGGCTGTGTTGAATGGCACATACAGAACAGGCTGGAGATGCTCACCCAGCTGAAATGTGGAATAGGATATGAAGGTACAATCCTAGGGGGCACAGCTAATAAACCCAGGGCTCCTAAGGGTGATGCATAAACTGCTGATCTAATATAATTCTTTAATCTTACATTAACACAAAGAAATTGAGGAGCCTAACGGATTAGAAAACTTGCAAGAATCCATTCACCCATTTAATGGTGGGTATGAGAACAGAATTAACTTTAGACATTTGAACTTCAGTACTTTTCCCACAACTCTTCATATTCAACTCAATTCACTAAGAATGAGATTAAAATTTTATACATAACACTCAAGCCATTTTTAATACTTGTACAGTTATAAATAAAATAAGCAAATAAGCTCAAAAGAATTAAGTTCAGATTATATGAGTCTTTAATGAGCTAGGCTTGAGCTCCACACCTGAAGGCACAGAGATTTTATATTCACTTACACTTCTGTCTTCTTTTTGTTCTGTTTCTATTGTTGACCCCTTTTCAGCAATTCTTCTCCTGGAAAGGCAAATTGATTAAAAATTTTTATATCACCTATCTTTGTCTGCCTGCCTGCCTAACTACTCTTGTTCTAAGAGGGAAGAGGATAAAATTATCAAAGTGTTTTTGATTCTGGACATACCCACTACAATAAAATCTCACCTCCTGGCCAGCAGGGCACTCATCTCTTCCATTAAGCCACTCCCCCCTAGAGGAAGGGGTCCATTCCCACGACCAGCATCTCCTTTGGATGAGGCCAAGTTCACACCTACAGTACCCCCTCCACTTGGGAAAGAGCCATCCTCCACCTTAATGAGAACACACACAGAATAATTTCCTATGTAAATAATAATGCTTATTAACACATTCAAAACAGAGGAATACATAATTATTGATTTAAAAAAGTACATTTTTTTTTTAAAATTTGAAGAACCAATAGTGAGTAACACTGACTTTATATGTCAATAGGAATTCTATAAAGTTAAGACCACCAATAATGGGGAAAAACAGTACTGATTTTCCAAATGATGCACTGAAAGACACTATCCTAATGGTAATTTTTTCCTCATCCCAAATACATAATCTGAATCCAACAGAAGAAGAAATATGATAAATCAAACTCAGGTAATTATAGAAAAAAAGTGTTTTTAAAGGGTAATAAAGATTGAGGAATTGTCACAGATTAAAATAAGAGACATTATAATTAAATTTAATAAATGATCTTGAACTAGAAAAAATGCCATAAAAATTATTAGCTACCCTCCCTTCAAATTTATAATGAGATAGAAAAATAAGAACATGGTGTTTCTGACTTACTCTCAAATCATTCAGATTAGAAACTGTGTGATAAAGGTGATATACGTAAAGAAAAGAAGAAGCAAATAGTGGTTAAAAGTCAGCTAGTGAATCTAGAGATGATGAGGTCACAATCTTTATACTACCCTTACACCTTTTCTAAAATTTTAAATTATGTTGGCTTTTAATAACAGGGTCTACACCAGCATAATACAGTAATTTCACATTTTTAAGACATTTAGAAACAAGACACACATTTAAAAGTTCAGTAATTTGGTAATTTACCCGAGACACTTTCCTAAGTTTTGCTCCTGCGATTGCAGCTGCAAGTCCAGTTAAAGGGCGATTGTCTTCTGACATAGATCCAGAGAAAAATCCAGATGCAGGGAGGGGAGGGGCAGGCGGTGGGGGAGGAGGGGGAGGAACTTGGTTAGGAAGAGGGGGTGGGGGAGGCGGTGGAGGAGGCCCAGTGGATGGAAGTGGAGGTGGTGGAGGAGGTCCAGGGGGAGGAGGGAGTGCTGAGGTGTGGTTAGGGCCTGGTGGGAGGGGTGGAGGTGGGGGAGGTGCAGGTGGTCCCAAGACAAGGCCTGAGAGGAAGAAAAGTTAAGACAATCATCAACAACAGAGCTAATATATCATTATATTTTACAAGGGAAAATATATAGAATGACATTCTAAAGTAAGTTGACTCAGACACTGTATATAAGAGATTAATTTATCATTATACTTAAAATCTAGACTAGTTTAACAAAAGATATGATTTGAAAGCCAAAGTATTTACACAACCATTTAATATTTGACCTTTAGTAACAGAAGCAATGAGACCCCCCTCAAGGGATTTGAAAACAAATGCTTATATTATTAGAGAGATATGCAATGTTTTATATACACACACACACACGCACGCGCGTGTGCACAGGCCCACACAATTTGTACTGCCCAAGATAATAGACCCAAGATAATCCATGTAAAACCTTAGATGCTGAGATAATATACTTGACTATGATAACAAAAAGGTATTTATTTACTGATAAGGCTTAAAAGGTTAATTTTTGTTTTTGTAAAGAAGGAACTGAGTTTGCACACTGGGTAGTAGTCGTCACTTCTGAGGCTTGAACAGGCATACAAACAGAAATGAAAGGCTGGAGGTAAGCTGTCCTATCCTGCAGATTGAGTTCTGAGTCACAGCAGGACAGTCAGCCTTGTCAGGCTGCGTGCGCCTTCTGATCAGATATCAATCAGATAGTAAATTACGCATATTCTAATTTGAGCCACCTTTTAGTAAAATCTGATGAAATATCATAAAAAAGGTCGTGTTTAACAAAGGGAGTTATTTTTAAATCTAGATTGTAACATTGTTTTTAAGCATGAAGTTGTTTTTGGCATCCTCACTACATTGTATACTTATATAAACAACAACAAAAGGCAGGGTCATAATGTTTCCTCTTACAGAACTGGGGGAACTTTATGTACATCCTCCACACTTAGAGCTGTCAGGCAGCACAGCTTGTGTTTGGGACAAACCTTTAAGGACCCTCTGTTTGCCCTTATACCACTACTTGCAATCGGGCCTGTGGAATCCTCTGGGGTACACACCAAGCCTGCCGTTCCTCTCCTTCTGCCCCCGGCCCAGAGATTACCCACTCTAAACATCAAAATCAGCACATCTTAGAGCAGAAGTGCCCCGGGGCAAGCTCTGGGATGATCTATCTATTAAACAGACCTCCAACTCTCCAGGAAGTATTTAGATCTCCTATTTACTGCATGGAAGACAGCCAATCAAGTTTTCCTAGCAAAGTTTAAAATAAACGTATTTGTATAGGGGTCCCAAAATATTAGAAAGCACCTTCTACAACTCTTACTGCAAAAGATCCAAAACCCCAAGTCTAATATGGATATCTCCCATACTAAATTCCTATATACAATTAAGGTCCCAGGACCAAAGGGAAAAAAAATTCCTTCAATTTTTTTAAAAATAAAATAAAATAAAACCCCATGTAAGTACTTTGGTAAAGAGATGCTCAATTATTAAAACCATCTGACTCATTCTACCAGGCAGTCAGTTATTGCTACACACTACTCTGAAGTGACCAGTAGTCAGCAGTAGTAGTAGTGAAGCCTTACCCTGTGGGGTTGGCGACTCGGCCGGCTGAGAGGCTGCCTGCAAGCCTGGCTCGGAAGCAGAGGAGTCTCCCAGCTCAGGATTTAGAGGGGTCTCCACAGAGGCAGGGGCAGCTGCAGAGGGAGAAGGGAGAACACTGGGCTTGGATGAGGGAGTTGAGGCAAGAGGGGTGCCTGGAGGAGGAGAAGCCTGTGATCCACAGTGTGAGAGTGAGGCGAGGGGAGGCAGCGGCGGTGGCGGTGGCGGTGGAGGCGGCGGTGGCGGAGGAGGCGGCGCTGCTGGCCCTGAGGTAGGCGGTGGAGACACTGGGTATGTTACAGAGTCCAGCAGCCCATTGGGTGCTGTCGGTGACGGAGGCATTTGGGGCACAGGAGAGGAGACACAAACGGGGAGGACAGGCCTTGGGCCAGTAGCTTTGCCAGGAGGGCTGCTAATCATTATCGGAGGAGATGGAGGGAGGGGCGAGAAATTGGAAGTAGACCAGGCACAGGACTTCGCAGCTGGAGGCTGAGAAGAGGGTGTGTTCACAGGAGAAGAAGGTCGAGAGTTTTTGTTCAGAGGACGAGGAACTGTAGCATAATGGGGAAGAACAGGGTGGAAGGCTGAACCTAAAGATGTTGCAAAACGTGTCGCTGAGTGTCGCAGTGGTGGTGTAGGGGGTGTGGAAGTAGGTGGCAAAGCAGTCACTACAGCGTAATCAGGAGTGGCATCTGACACTGGAGCTGAGATGACTTTAGCATATGATGGAGGAGGTGCTGAAGGAGGCTGGCAACTGGAATACTCAGGAAGTGGAGCATTATACAGGGAGCTGTCTGAAGATGGAGCTGGACATAAGGTGGAAAGCAGCGGCAAAGACAGGATAAAAAAGGAGAGAGAAAAAGGGAGCTAGTGAAGCCACAAAACCAGCAATCAGACAAAATGTATAAATGTAGACTATAGTTAGTACCAGAAAATTAGGCAATTAATTGTCTCCACTTGAGAAAATTTAACTTGTCAACATTTTTGAAATTCGAAAGAGGATGAAATATATTCTTTTAACTATATGGATTAATACTCTATCCTTTATAGGAAAAGGACAGTAACAGTCTTAACTTTTTTAGTCCACTAAAACAACATCAAAATTGTTACAAACAGCAGAATAAACTGAGCTGTTTCGAACACCAAAATGTTTAGCACAAATGGAAAGAACACCCAACTTAGTGCTTACTTGTGGACATTTCTATCTTCTCAGCTGTGACTGCAGACAATCAGGCAGTGAAAAACTACGAATTAACTTAACCAACTAGCCAATCCTGAACCCACGCTGGCTTCTGATGTAGCTCAGAAAGATTAAAGTTCTCTGATAAATACTCAACACCTTAAGCTTTAACTATATCATAAACTCTATGACATTTGATAAATCCCTGACTGTTATTTTTCACAATACCAGAAAATGTTTAAATAACCAGTCATTTTAAGCGAATACTTCCATCTATTTTAATTTTCCCTTTAGAAACCTGACTGTACCCAAGCTAACTTGGTGCTGTATGTGGCATAGTCGAGTATGTGATAACTTTAACTGACTGCACAAGGGAAATATCTTCCAAGATCATTATAAAAAAAAAACCTTTGCATAAAAACATTCACACTTTATAGCTGAATTTTAAGGCAGCGAAAAGAATTAAAATGGCAAAACAAAAATTCCCAAGAGCTTTCTTTTAGTTTCTAAGCAATAAAACAAACACTGAAGCAATAATTGCTAAGTACTTATCCTAACTCCAAACTGCACTGCTTATTCCCCAGCACGCACATGTGAAGTATCACAATTCTCGGCTGCACAGATCCTTGCCCAGCTCAGGTGCAGGAGACATAAGTCTGCAGACTCTTACCAGCATTGGACACTCTGCGCTCTCGCTCTCGCTCCCACTCGACTTGCTCGCGCTCCAGCTGCTCCAGGCGCTCTCGGTCTTGCCGCTCCCTCTCCAGGCGCTCCAGCCGCTCCCTTTCCAGGCGCTCCATGTGCTCCCTTTCCTGCCTCTGCCGCTCCAGCTGCTCTTGTTCCAGGCGCTCCCTCTCTAGCCTCTCTCTTTCTAGTCGTTCTCTCTCCAGCCTTTCCCTCTCCATTCTTTCTCTCTCCAGCCTCTCCCTCTCCAGATCCTTCTGTCGCTGCTGTTCTTGCAGCTGCCTGAAATTAAAAATTGAATAAATAAAACTAAAACCCGTGGTCACTACTTCCACACAAAAGCAGGCTCCTTACAGACACCTTGTATTTTATACCAATGGAACTAACCTCTCAAGAGCCACATGGGCTCAATCAACACAGCTTTTGAGAATAAACCTCCCACTATAATCACCAAATCATTATATTAATCAGATGATGAAATAATTTTAAAATGTAATCTTTTTCTTAAAAATGTAACATTTTTAACTGCACAAGTTACAGCTTCAGGAAAAACAATGATAGTAGCTATACCTGAAGAAACATTTGGTGACTAGAAAATAAACCCAGTTAAGTAAGAAATAAACTATAAATCACTAAAATTTCATGTCTATAGATAACTATAATTAACATTTTGGTATATACATCTAGACCTTTTGTTTTATAATAACACACCCATAGATTTTGACATTCAGTCAAATCAGTATCATCTCACCACAACTCTGAAATCTGCTTTTTCTGACACAATGCACACTGGAAAAATTACCACAAACCCTTAGTCTAACCTCTTTAACTTCCACGAGCATATGGACAGCACTGCTTAGCCCTTAAGAGTTTGAGCGGTAGCTGGGCGGTGGTGGCTCACACCTTTAATCCCAGCACTGGGAGGCAGAGGCAGGCGGATCTCTGTGAGTTCAAGGCCAGCCTGGTTTACAAGAGCTAGTTCCAGGACAGGCTCAAAGCTACAGAGAAACCCTGTGGGGGGGCGGGGGGAGAGAACAACCATTATAAAATATATTTAAATAAATATATATTTATAAAAAAAAAAGTTTGAGTGGTCTCCAGTGCAGGATATAATTAGCCTGGTGTACAGGTACAACACTGTATACAAAATAAATTTAAAAACTAGAGACAGAAAAGATATTTTTTTCAATAATGTATATATAATAAACAAACTCCAGTGAGGTTTGTATTAAAATTTTAACTAAGGGCTAGGGATATGGCTCAGTGTTTGAGTACTAGCTGCTCTTTCAGATGCCCTGGGTTTGATTCTCACTTCTGTAACTCCAGCTCCAGAAGATCCAACACCCTTTTCTGGCCTTGAGGCAAAACACTCACATGCATGAAAATAAATTTTTTTTTTTTTAAAAAAAGTGACCACTGCTAATTTGAAAAAAATATTAGGTTTTAGGATGTTTACATTTTGTGCTTCTCTTTTCATTTATCTCAAAACCATATATGTATATATCAAGCTTACAACAGAACAAACATTAGCTTACCATCTTAACACTTCCTTACCCATTTCCCATTTTAGCTGATTGATTTCCATTTTTAATGGCAAAAGCCTTCCACAACAACCATCACACACACACACACACACACACACACACAGAGCCGTAAGAAATAACTTGGCTAAATCAATATTCAGGAACATTCAGGGTAATACTAGCATTATATAAACACTGTCCCTAGCTGAGCTACAAAGTATTCTGACAGCAATCTATACCCATTCTGATTGCTGGGCATTAAAAAAAAAAAAAAAAGCTGTTAATATCTGTTTCTCTAAGCAACACAATGCTTTCAACACACAGAGTAAGTAATGGTTGGTGGTCATTAAAGGTAAGATAGGTATGGATGTGGGGAATCTGGAAGCAGCATTGAATACAGACATTTATAATGACAATGTATTGACTTCAGAAGATTGTTCTACCTGTCAATCTCTAAAGGCTTTCTATAAAAGTTAAGAATGTCTAAGGAAAAAAGTGCAATACTGGGGAATACTTTCAAATTTGCTGATAGATAACTCAAATAAGCTGATGATACACCTTCAAGAGACTGCTGTTTGAAGAAAGCCTGCTCACTGAGAAGATGACTATGTATATGTAGATGAAAAACAGTGTGAAGCACAAATTTTCTGCCTTACAAATCCTTGGTGAGCATGAATAATTCCTACCTCAACTGAAGGACTTACAAATCTGCCTATAATGTTTTAATCTATATAGTAAGACATCCCTAAATCTTTTTAGTTGTTTCCAAAATTTTGAAGCTTGCTTTCCTCAGGATCATTACTACTAGCTTGCATACTGAAAGTTGGTATAGCCCTTCTTCCTAGAGGTCATATACATCAATTGCTATTACCTGCCATTAGTAGATTTTACTACAACACACGTGTCTGAGTTCCAGGCCGGGGAGAAAATTCCAAAAAGTTTGTTTTCTTTGAATTAGCCATACATTTTAAATAATTTGAATGTTTCAGAAGAAACAATTATATACCTTTTCCAGAAATAAATATAAATGAATACTATTATGGCCATTAAAGTATTTTAATGTATCGAGTAAAAATATATAGTTTTCTTCTATCACTGAAGTGTTATCCTCCAAAACAACAGGCCCCAAATGCAAACAGATACTGAAAGAACTGGCCCACAATGAAATCAATATATATATACACACACATACACACACATACAAACATACACTTAGTTTAAGTTTACTTAAGACACAGTCTTGTGAAGCATGTAAAATATAAATAAAATGTCAAGATATATTTTATTCATCATTACCTTGAATGGTAGTTGTGTAAATATAGATTTCAATTCAAGACAGGGTAGCAATATGTAGCCCCAGCGAGCTCTGAACTCACACTGACCCACTAACTTCTATCTCCAAAATGCTGGGATCAAAGGTATACACTACCACATATGGTGAACACAAATACTTTTTATTGTAAAATGTGGGCATTTAATCTATTAGTTAAAAAAGAGGAGGAGGAGGAGGAAGACTTTTAAAAAGACGATTGAGTTTTAAAGCCACAAAGCTCCTGTGACAAGAGTCAATACTTACAACAAAATCCGATCAACTCTTGGTCCATTCTGCCTCTGAAGGATAATGGGAGTGCTGTATACTTTCATTACTCCAGTTCCTCAGTTCCTTGCTGGGATTATTATCCCCCTTTTATAACTTTCAGCTAGTAGTGATGATTTACTAGCTATTTATAGATATTAACTAAATTATCCTCTATGTCGAGAGCACAGGACTGACTCATGTTTCTTAGAATATATTTCTCCATCATAGCCAAGGTAGCCAAATATTAATGAGTAAGAACCAGAAACTGATTTAATGAATGGCAGACACATGAGTAAAAGACTATCTCACGGTATAATAAAGGTATTATATCAACAAGGTTTAATATTTAACATTTAACATTTATTTTGCCAACTAATTTCATACTGATTACAAAAAAAATAAACTTATAAAAGCAATGCCTAGTTTAAAAGTCAAAGAGCATTACAATGCATCTTACCAATGCTCACCACTGCTGGTTTCTTCCCACAGAATCAATTAAGTTTTCAATATTTCTTGCAGTTATTTCACGTTTCTAAATACAGCAACTACCTTAGAAACATTTCTTCTTGGGCTGGAGAGATGGCTCAGCCATTTAAGGCTAGGTTCACAACCAAAAATATAAGAAATATTTCTTCTTGCCATTTCAAATTGATACGTCACTATTTTTCAACTAGACAAATTGACTACATAGACATAATTCCTATGTTCTTGGAGGCTGGCACGGAGGACTGAACCTCCATGAGCTCTATCCCTAAGCTATACTCCAGCCCTGACTCTACTCACTCTGGCTACTCCTCATTTTCCAATCTCCCTATAATAAAGTCAGAGCACTTTGACTACAGCAATACTATTTTTATTTTATATGTATGAGTGGGTGTTTTGTCTGTATATGCCTGTGCAGTGCATGGAGGGACCAGAAGAAGATACTGGACCCTGTCGGAACCAAAGTTAGAGATGGCTGTCAGGTGCCACGTGGGTGCCAGAAGAGCACTACTGCTCTCAACCACGTAAAACTCTCTGGATGACTTCCTACTTCCTACAGAAATGGTGAGGGAGTGTGTGTGTGTGCGCGCGCGCGCGCACACACACACACACACGCTGGCTAATTCAGAAAAATCCACTCTGAAATCAAGTATTATCCACTTGATTTTAGGGATGAAAATGTATTAAATTTCAAGCCTACTTCTAGTATAATCCTCATCACACATAAAAAAAAAAAAATTCAGTCCATGGTATAAAATCCAGTCCGTAATCCCAGAGGTGGGGAAGACAATCCCTACAGTTTACTAGAAAATCCAGTCTAGCTCAATCAATCAGCTTGCTCTGGGTTCAGTGAAAGATTGTTTGAAAAAATGTAAAGAGCTATTGAAGATACCTGATGTTTCCCTTGGACTTCTACATGCGTGGGTACATGTATGTGGGACACACACTGATACTGAAAACAGAATAAGGCTGATTGAAGGGAACAGACACTATTATATTCTAAGTCTACTTAATGTATTTTTAGATGTATCACAAGTACGCTTTTTACAAAAAAGCAGATAAAATGGAAGTCCTAATTTCAAAGAACTGAAGGACATAATGTATTGTTAGTGTCCTCTGGGTCTGCTGCAAAGAAGGAAATGTAATTGTACAGACTCACCTCCTCTGGATTTCCAACTCTTCTTGGGATGGGCCATTTTGAACTTGAGCAGGTAGTTGTGTATTTTGTCTAGGCAATGTTGGCCCTATAAGGGAGGGAAACATTACAGATGAGTGCTACCATTCTACCTAGCTGGATGGAGGAAATTAAACCATGAGAACAACATAAAACCATCACGTATTAAAAATGCATCTTCTTTTTGTCTAGCAAAATAAAATATAAGCTTTACATAACACACAGCAAATGAAAGACTGCAACATAATATTGTCATCATTTTCAGAAGGCTTACTTGAAACAAATGGAAACACCAACAATAAAGGAAAAAATAAACATTTATATATGAAGAGCTGGAGTAAAACAAGTGTTCAATGAGCACCTGAATAGGCACCTGAGCTTGACATTCTCTAAGACAATGAGACATTCTGTTCGGGGAAATTGTTCATGAGGTGGAGAGGAAAAACTTAAATGAAAAAATCAGAATTAAAAAACTCACCTAAATAGAACACTGGAAATGAAAAACAGGAGAGAGAGAGCATGAGAACCTCATTACCAGACTGGAGCACGCTAATGCATTTATCAAACCTGCCCAAATGAGCTGCCATTTGTTTTATGGCATTGCATTTTTATTACTAGAGAAACAAACATTTGCTAAACTCCCATACACTGTATTAACCTATTTATCTCAATTTCTAATGTTATAGGTAATCTTAACAACTTTCGAGGTAAGAAAGGTGGGGGGAAGGGGAAGACTGTTCACACCAACATGAGAAAGCACTGACCATCCACTCCCACAACTACATATAATGTAGAACCATCTTTAGCATCTTAGACTATCACTAAATTATGGGAAATCTTATTGCCACTGGATATAAAAATTAAGTGACTGATACTAACCTAAGGTTGAACTAAAACAACCTTGAAACCCACAACAGTAAAGCAAGAACGTGATGACAAGTTTTCTCCCATTTTCTGAGGGGTTTCTGACTGCTAGTGTGCCACCAAAAACCCCTAGCAGGGATTCTTAGTTTTGCAGAGCACTACTATAAAAAAGTAAGTAAATAAATGCTGTGTGTATTAGGATATGTTACTGTGAGCTGTGAGTGAAGATCATGAAAGTAGCTATTTTATCCTCGTGGGGCAGCACCACAACTGGAAGCAGAAGTTGATCAGGATGTAATACAGCACTGGCACCTCCCAGGTGTAGAAAACAGGAAAATGATCTGAACTTACCTACTAAACTTTTCATCTCTTTACATGTTTTTAGATTAATCATTTAATTTGCCCTCTAATGACAAATTAATGACAACTGCAGCAATATATTTCATTAGATATAAGTCTACTACTTTGCAAACCAAATATAAAATAAACCCCATGTAATTTAACAAGAAAAAACAAAAACACGTTTTAAACTCAAAGTCAAATACACACATAAATGTTTACACAAATGAAAATATAACTGTTGTCTAATAAACAGAATGTTTAGAAAATTAACACAATGACTTTTTGAAAAAACTGTCATACTGTGCTATACTCTAATGCTTACTATTTTAGAGAGAAAAGATCCTTTCGGAAGAAGGTAGAGAGACATAGGAGTTGGAAGGATAAATTTAGGATTCTATAAAATTGGGGGAGTATAATCTATATGCCCGTACTTTAATTTTAAAACTATAAAATCAAAGCATTTTGCAAGGCCAACTTAAAGACCATTAAGGCTTACATTTAAAAATACTCTTTGACTGTTTAAGTTAAAACTTCAGCCAGTATAAATAATGGAACAACTGTAAGTCAGTAATCTGGCATGCTCACATCTAGAAAACGCATTGTATCTCAATGATCCTATTAATGAGTTAAATCTATGTTTTAGCTGAAATCTATAAATTCAAGTCAAAGGTGTTAAAATTTCAATTTAACCTTTTGACATTATCAAACGATTTTTATTCATTAAAAAAAAAAAAGCTAACTCTGGGCCCAGTGTGGTGGTGTACGCCTGTAACCTCAGCAACCACAGGAGAATTCTGAGTTCAGGCTCACCCTGGGCTATATATACTTACATACTATCAATAAAACAAAACTATAACAAACTGAGTAAGGAAATTTACTATAGTTTATTCCTGGCACATGAGATGAGAAGAATTTCAAGGGATCCCTTTAAAATGGGGATTTTGATCTAAGACTAACCCTTACAATTCCTTGCTATGTAGCTTTCTGCTAATAAGCCATTTGTTTACCCAGGCATTCTCAAAATCCCTCCCTTTGGCATTTTTTTGTCATCTATATTTAATCTGCTTATTTTGTTTCTTCATCAATATTGCCAAGTTGTAAAAACTAGCATTAAAAACTAGCATAATGAAATATATGTGCAATTAAACATAATTTAATTATAAACACTATAGTTATTAGATAAAAATTCTAGATATATAATGAACTAGAGGTACATAATTACATTTTTATGGGTTATAAAATTGGTAAGTTGTATCAAAGGTATCACACAAACAACAGAAAACAGAAACTAGGTTAGGCAAGGCTATCAGTGGCTGCATTTTCTGGGATGTATATTGTTTTTTCAAACGGGCCATATTCCTAAATGAGTATCTGTGTTCTCATAAAATATAAAATAGGTACTTTCATAACCATCTCAGTAGGCAAATGACAATATTTTAACATGCATGGTATGGAGGTTATCAGCTATCTTTTGAAGGGGAAAGAGAAACCACCAAGGAGCAGGTATGAGTGATAGTGCTCTAGTCCTCACACAGGGAGGAATGGCAACTGCCTGAAGGTTTGCTTTATAACCAGACAATGGTGGGTCCTAATTTGTCCAAGCTAGAAGGTGCAAAGTTTGTGAATTACTGTTCCTAATAAAGACAATATGGTAATGTTGCTGAAAAGCATCCTACAAATGATGGAAATCTGATATGAACCCCTCTCCAAAAGGAATGGCAGTTCAGCCTTGCCTTCAATATTGAGTTTTGGTTAAAGTACATTTCACTTACTCTCCCCATTTTAATTCTCGTTAATCTAGTTTCACATTTAGCCACAGACCATTTAAAAACACAGGACTAAAATACAAGTAGGTGCTATTATATACAATACAACCAAACTTAAACTTGGCAATCAGATTGTAGATTGTACACAAATTGAAGACTGTTATAAAGGAAATCTGTTTTAACCTGTAATTTTAGAAGTTTTAAAAATTCACCTTTATTAATTAGGTCAAATCACTTTTCCCCCTTTAAAACAGGGTAAGCTATCACTCTACACATGGATCTCAAGCACAAAGTTACAATAGTAATGCGTTTTCAAAATGAACTGAAGAGAGTCCTAACCACCCAAGTATCAGTGATTGCTCACAGAAGCCCAGGAAACCCCTAAGAAAAGACACGACCAGAAACAACGTCACTGATTGATTAGAAGCAATCTGCAGTGCTAAGCTGGAGTCTGGAAGAGGGGAGGAGAGACTGATAACAAGTCATAAACTAGGTGCTCACTGGTGTGACCATCAGCTGGAGCAAATCAAAATATAAACTTAGGTGATCATGAGATACATTAGAATTGTCTTTTTTTTTTTTTCTTATTTATAGCATTGCTTGTCTAAACCAGTAAGCACATCAACTTAAAGAGGATTTTCCTTAAGGAAACATATCAACAATATTGAGAAACTACACTAAAAATTCTGGGTCACATGGATAAAGTTACACACACTAAACTAGCAATTCAATTTTTTTTTTGCTTACACCATCTTATAGTTTTATCTCACGAAATAATCTAGCTAGTCAAGATATGAGTCAAAAGGTATAAGTGAATCAATAAAAAGTTCAAATAATACATTTTTTGAAACTTGGATTTTCAAAATGGGAGGATTCAGAACCAAACAAATGAAAGAATTCAAACAATAATATGTATCTACATACTTATCTATATAAACAATTTCTTGTGCAAAATTTATATATATATATACATATATATATAAATGATTGATCAGAGCCAACCTACGTGGCTAAATGACATACCTAATTTAACCATGCAAATAATACATGTATGTACACACATGTATGTTTATGAGAGTGAGTATGACAGAAAACAATCTATAAGCCTAAATTCACTTCTAAGCCACAGAAACCTACTATAGAAGAGGTTGTCATCTGAAACCAACCTATTAAAAAATAAGCTTACATCTGTCTGTACAACATGCACACCTAGAATTCATTCAAGGTTAAAAAAAAAAAGCTCCTTTCAAATAAGATACATTTACATTATCCAAATCATATGAAAAATACACATACCTTTTTCTTTTACATTAAACTGAATGTCAGTTCCCAAAGTAAATTGTAATTTAAAAAACTTCTCTCATTTATATTGGAAGAGGTAAACAAAGAATTCTAAGACCCTATTTCTAACTAATTCCTCACTAGTAAGCCAACTCAAAACCACCTACATGAACCACAACAAATATCACAACATAAAACAGAAGCTTGCTTTATATCCCAGATACCACAAACCAGACTATGGCCTAGGAAACAAAAGTTATGGAAATGTGCAAGTCGTATGTACCACAGCTTGAAAAAGTAATGTAAACATAATGTTGCTTACCACAGAAAATACATCGCAAATTAGTGCTGTCCTGGGTAGCAGTAACCTTGCTCTGGGCTGCAACAGACACCTCGGTGTTAGAAGCTTCGAAGGACAATGGGGCCATCTGAAGAATTTCACATTAACTAAAAGGTGCTTTGAAATGTTCAAAATGTATTCATACATACGTCCTATCTAGATCCTCATTCTGGAAACTTTATAATTTTACAGCTTAAATATTTCCTGAGTTATACAATCAAAGAATGCAATCTGCATTTTAAGACTGTATTCTTTAAAACGTTAGTGAAAATGAAGTATAAAGTTAAGATGTATGGCCAATAGAATTAATTTCATGAGGTCTACCCTCCCATTTAGGAGAACTACATTCAAAAAAAATTCAGGGAAAATACTTAAGATTAGTTTAATTAAGATGACTTTGTACTTAACAATAACCAATGAGATTTACAGAGAGACACTTTACTATATTTCCCTAGATATGAAAACATACTTGAGAAAATGAATTACTAAAATTCTGAGTGGCCACAACTAGCCATTAACCTAAATGACTTATATTAAAATTTAGTTTATCAATGAAATAAGTCCATAAATTCGTTTTAGGAAGAAGAACTCAAAGAGAAAGTGGTAATATCTGAAAAGAGGAATGCTTTATCCAATCAAGACAACACCCAAAACTGGGATGAGAAAATTCTTTTCTTACTATTAACAACGTGCAAATGGTACATAATAATTTCTCAGAAAAACCCTTTTCAGCAAGGAAAAGATTTTCTTTTCTTATGGGTACTACCTAAGAAAACAATTAATGGCTTAAATACATGTTGGTTTAAGGACGAGCATATTAAAGCAAACAAGACAGTACTTTAGTATATTCTTGAAATAAGACAACTCCTGCTAAGTAAAAATCAGAACCAAACCAATCTATACCCAAAGATTTATCTTAATATGGTAATTAGCAATAAATAAAAATAACTTTTCATCATCTTAAACAAGACAACATAATCCAATTAAATATTAAAGTATTAGATACAGTAGGTACTTCAAAGAGCAATAAAATAAAATTGATAATGCTAGCTTTGCTAAGTACTTCCACCCACCATCTATCAAGAATGCATGCACAATATTTAAGAGTAATAACATAACCACAGGCACACGAAGACAAGCTGAACAAGCTAATGAGACCATGCTAAAGGAAATAAACATTTTAGAAAAATTACAATAATTACATTTTAAATTTATACTCCTTTATAATAAAAGTCTTTTCCATCGGTGTTTATAAATATGACTTCCACTGAACCTTTATTAGTAAACATGCCTACTTATCAGGTTTTACCCTTTAATCCATATTAAATGGGAGGAAAACAGAAGGACAATTTAAAAACTCACATGAAGAACCTGAGAAAGTATCCTGTTTCTGACAGCAAAGAAGCGGCCCCATCCCATGAGCAATCATCTCAGCAGAAAGTCATCTGACTAGAGTCAGAATGCAGGCACCACTGTCACTGCAGACTGCTCCCAACCAAGACTCCCGAGCCTTTCTCATAGCTGGACTACCAGCAATGTCCCTGCACTTGTCATCTTTCAGCCTCCTTTCTGGTGACTTATTTCTGTTACGAGTACAACACTGATTTACTTCTGGCAGGGTTGCTAGAATTCTACTGCAGCTTGCATTTCCCGAAGATACTAAATTATTCATCACATCATATGCATAAGGCTAACAGCTTCCTGCTTACTACTGATGCCATTAACTCTTTCGTTACTAAATCTGAGGTTGATTATACAGGTAAATTCAGTATCACCAGTTTAACACTGGTAATAAATGCTAGCATTTATCTATGAAAAGACACTTTTTTTTTAAAGCAAGCCATACAATAAAATCTTAGGGCTAAGGGAACCTGGGTGAAATGCAAAAGAAAACAAACCTAAAGCAATGAAAATTAATCAAGAATGTAGAATTTTAACATCTTTATGTTTCTAAAAGTAATATAACCCTCAACAACTACTTTGGCCTTTGATCTTGTTGCAGATGCTCACTTGTCTCTTAATGTAATTTCTGAAACAAAAACCCTTCAGGCTTTGCCACCTGCCTTTACTATTTCTATAATTTGATTTCTTTCTTTTTTAAAAACAAGAAAACAAAAACACTTTAAGCGAGGAACTCTGTAATAGAAATCACAGTCTTTCTAGTTTTGATCCATATCACTCTATGGTCTTAGTATTACATATTACTACTACAGCAGGCCCTCAGGACATTTGGGCTTTAAAAGAAATTAGTGTTTTCTATTATTATTATTGTCTTAAGGTAATTTGTAAGGGGAACGCTGTTCATCTCAGCATTTTGTATTTTTAAGGATTAAAGGAGCTAATGTTTGCTTAGACTGGCAGAGATTTGATTTGCCTTCCTGAAAAGCTGGTCTTTGAGAGACAGGGCTCAAGGTCAGCATTTAAAGGTGTGGAATTCACACAGCCCTTCCTGACCCAAAGGGGAAGGTTTGTTCGAAAATGAAGATTAGAATGGAGGGAGGTATGTAAATCCCTAAAACAAACTGTTCAGGTTATATTTATATATTTATGTGGTGACACCTTTAATCCTCACAACTCAGGAGGCAGAGGCAGGAGGATCTCTGTAAATTCTAAGTCAGCCTGGTCTACAAAATGAGTCTCAGGACTGCCAGGGCTATATTAAAGGGGCATGTCTCAAAAGGAAGAAATAAATAAAAATTAAAGGAAAAAAAAGGCATGCATTTGAAAGGGAATGGGGATGGAGGGTTTGAAGGCTTACAGAGAGGAATGAAAAGGGGGAAATTATGTAATTTATATTTTAACTTTAAATAACCAAATTCCAGATTGCGGGCACTGTTCAGAGACATGAAAAACAATAGGCACTTTATGGCTGCTTTTTTGCTTTTCAAAACAGAGCTTCTCTGTGTAGGTCCTGGCAATCCTGGAACTTGCTTTGTAGATTAGGATGGCCGCAAACTCAGAGATCCACCTGCCTCTGCCTCCTGAGTGCTGGGATTCATGGTGTGTGCCCTCCCTACTAGGCTAATATTGCATTATGAAAACACTTTCACAGCATTATTTCAAATTTTGTTTTGAAACAAAAAGGTTTAATAAAAGAAAATCTTCTATCTCAAGAAATGGAGCACTGTGTAGTTATAGCCATATATGAGAAAACCCAACATCATCTACATCTCACTCATGTAATTAATCTAGAGTTGTGTGTGTGTGTGTGTGTGTGTTTAGCTTACTCTCCTTTGCTACCAGAAGGTAATTATCGTTCAACTTATAGCTTCAAATGTACTTTTTTATCACTTACTTTTCAAAAAAGAAGAAAAATGACTGCAAACAATAGATAAATTGCAGATCATTTATACACTGTACAGGCCCCTCTGTTCACCATGATTTTATTTTTATTTTTCCTTTATTTTTAACCAAGGAACTACAGACCGTTTCTAGTTGAAGAAACTTTAGGAGTCAACTCAACTAGATGCTCAAGGGCCTATAATTTACCATCTTGTCATATCCTGATGTTCTAAACACTAAGCTATGCCTCTTCATTCATTTTGTGGGTTCTCCTCCCTAAGTACAGATCAAGACCTGTCCATCAACCACCTTTCATGCCTTTCAGCCCATTGTCACTTCAAGGTGTCAAGTATACACTCAGAGAAGACAACACATTTGCAGTGGTAGCATGTTTACTTTATTACTGCAGCATCTGTTGACTTTCAGCCAGCATTATCTATTCAATTGCAATAGAAATACAGAACTTCTGACACCTCTTCCCTTTTACTCTTATTAACCGATTCCAAAGCCTGTCCGTGAAGCCTCCTAATTTCCCCTCCTATCTTCACTGATACTGTTCTTGTTTGATGACTAATTGCTTAGGAGTATTCAGTGTTGAGAAGTTTAGCACATACTCAGAGAAGAAACAGAAACAGTAACACTTCTGTTCCCTTTCCCATAATTTTCATTTTTCTATTCTGCCACACCAACTCCAGTGTCGTCTATGTGACATGACATATGTCATTATGCCAGATGGGAGCTACGTGTCCCATGGGACTAGGCTTCCTGGAGGTCAATGGCAGACAGCCCGGTATTGGCTGCCCTTGAGGCATAGACGGGTTTCTCGATTAGCTGGCTATGCGGGATATGGGTTTTGCTCAATTTCTTTTATAATAATGATATTCTATATATCTACAAGATAAGGATTATCTCTTCAGGAACAGCTCTGGGATAGGGAAGCAAAGTATGGGAATGTATAAGACTACAGCAGAAACCTTGTCATACATGGGGTGTATGATGAGCAAGGGAATAGATGGGTTAATGTTGATGGACAAAGAGTGTTATACTTTGAACTTTATGGATAGGCTTGCTAGATACCAACCCCCATAGTGACTGCTGCATAAGAAGGTACTAAAAAGTATACTTCAGCAGGTGCAGAGAACCGAGTAGGTCACTAGATGAGATAAAGAAAGGGCTAGAAAGAGGAAAGGCCATGATAGCGATGAGACAGAAACTTTCTATTCTTAAGATGAAACCACTTGTCTGAGGTTTACATTCCCAAGGACAAGATTTCCTCTTCTAAGGATGTTTTATGTCTAGCACCTGTCCCTGATAATATGCTTTTCTTAAATATTGCTGATGTGACTAAAAGAAGCTTTCATACTGTGCCAACCAATGATACATGACCTTCTGATTCGTTCTTTGTTTGAATACTATATAATGAAAACATGAATTGAGTAAAATCGCAGCAGATACCAATCACTCCCTTGTGTGTTGTGTCTGTCTGTCATTCACTGAACTTGTGCCTTCCTGTTACCAAGACCCTGCTTCTCCCACGGTCTGAGTGGCTCCCCTGAGCCGGTCCGTGGCACTATTCTTGTTTTATAATATATACGCTATGCTAACTCCAAAGTGTGCGTGTGCACTTAAGAAAAATCAATTTGCCTACTTTTCAGCAAGAATTGAAACAAAAGGGCTGAAGAGAGGCTCAGAGGTTAAGAGCACAGATTGTTCTCCCAGAGGTCCTGAGTTCAATTCCCAGCAACCACATGGTGGCT